AGAAGTAAAAACACGTGTAGTGAAATACAATAATAACTCAATTAACTATGGTCTCAAAACTATTGAATATAAATAAAACTCCTTTTATTTAATCTCCATATTAATTAGACTTTATTAATTGTACAATGTTTTGATTAATCAACTAAACACTTGAATTTAAACATCTGCCATGCCATGTTCAAAACATGCATACTATGTCTCTTTATGGTCCTTCCTTTATGAACAGATCAATTGGACATAATTCCGATGATACTCATTTCACAATTCTAAATCTTTATTACAAGTGTAAGAATTCCAAATTTTCGTCAGCACCAAATTTGTTAGAGTCTATGTAACATCCTGTTCTTGATCTCTTTGTGATTTAAGGCTCGTGGGTCGTAATTCGGGTATAAGAAGGTTTTGAGGCTTTAAGGGAGAAAGTCTAGGCTAACTTTGGATATGGATAAGGTAGCTTGTGTGATAAAAGAGTTCGGGTTGTGCTTTAGAGTACAAGAGTATCAGTGAAGGCATTGGCTCGATTTTTATAAATTTTGGATATTGTTTGTAAAGTTTTGAGGTTGTGATGAGTAGCTCGAAGCGTAGGGCTTCTCGCCACCTTTCCGTGAATATAAGGTTCGTTGTAAATGGACTTATAACGAAGAAGATATGATAGTTTGAAGTTTTGACAAGATTAGTCCTTATTGAGAAACGAGTGGCAATTGGGTACGTTGAGCGTACACTTGAGTATGCGCGGCGTACTTATGCGCTTTGCATGATCGTGAATGCCACCTAGTACGTTGCGCGTACTAGGTCCAGAAAGAAAACCCTAATATCTTGGATTGTCCCTATTCAAGGAAGATGATGGCCTTCTTTCTAGCCAACATTTACAGTATCCAAGCCCTCTCAAACCCTATTCCCGTTTTCTAGCTTGTGTAAGGGTTTGTGGCTTATTTGAGTGTTCTTATGGAGCTTGTGGTGAAGAAGGAGTCTTGAAGGAAGGAACGCTTGTGCTTCTAGCTTGTGGATCTGAGTTCTAATCTAGTTGGTGCATCCTCCAGAGGTATCAAGTTCAAAGCTTGCTCATTGTTGTGATAGTTTTGGTTTTGGGTCCATTTCTAGGGTTTTATGTCCCAAGCTTGAAGCTTTCTGAGTTTGATGAACTATAGAGCATAATACCTGTCCTTTCATGAGTATTTGATGGTCTAGATTCACAAAAATGAGATCTTGGTTGTTTAGACATCCCCATGCATGTGTTAAGATGAGTAAAGTGAGTCTTAATGGTTATTTTTGGAAGTTAGGTCTCATTAAGACATGCAAACTGATAAAGTCACCAACTTTATCAGTTAGGAGCGTGTAATGAAGCTTCCCTGAGGTTTGGATGCTTTTGGCTGAAGTGGTTAAGTCGCAAATGGAGTTTTTGGGTCTGAGTATTATGCCCCACGTAAGTCCCTGTATGCCCCGCCTATTGGTCTAGTTGTCCCGATCAGGATTTACGTGTACACTGAGCGTACCTGGGGAGGTACGCCTTGCGGAGTTCCGATGTGGGCTTGTTGCATTTGGGTTTCGCATCCTTGGGTCGTTTGTTCGACTTGTTGTTGGGCGTGGTCCATTTGGAGTATTTTTGGACTAATAGAAGAGTTGGGCTTAGGACAAGGCCCATATTGGGGGTTGGACCCAATTTGGAAAATTGGGTTGTTAGTGGGCCTATGTGAACCTTTCTAGTCTTGGGCCATGGTGGGCCTAATAAGTTGGGATAATAGTGGGCCTGGTTAGTCGGGTCACCTTTGGGCTTAGTGATGAGGTGTAGCATTGCACAGTTTTTATTATTATGGCGTTGGGTTGTTTTGGCCAGTTCAGGAACCAGTATGCAGCGGCAACGGAAGTGTAGGATTTCACGTGTAGCGGTTGTGGTGAATCTTCTCACTATACTTACTTGAGTGGTAATGCATGAGTGACCGGAGGGTCTTATTGTGTTATTAACCAGAGGGTTTTATTTATGTTGTTGACCGAAGGTGTTATTTATATTATTAATCGGAGGGTCTTATTTGTATTACTAACCAGAGGGTCTTATCTGCTTTATGTGTTATTATGCATTATGTATTTGTGAATTATGTTGTTATATTATTTTGTATATATGGTGAGTTATGACCAGAGGGTCCATACCGAGCCGTGAGACCGAAGGGTCTTCACTGAGATACATAACCGGAGGGTCCATATCGAGACATAGTCATAAGAGGCTTATTATTTGTGTATGTAGTATTTTGGGGAACTCACTAAACTTCGTGGTTACAGTGTTTGTGTAAAATGTGTTTTAGGTACATCTCATGATCGCGGGAAGACTGAGGCCTGATTGTACACATTCGTCGGCTTATGGAGATTTGAGGATTTTGGGGTACTCTGATATTGTTTTGATAATAACTTAAAATATATGTGATGACTTGAATTTACGGGTAATATTTTGAGAATTAAAAATGAAAAATTCATCTTGAAATTTGAGGTGTTTTAGTCTAACCTTGCATGCAACATCCTTTTGTGATGACGTGGCATGAAAGTTACCGAGACTTTGCCAACCAAGTCACAAAATGCTCCATTGAAGCTTTGTTACTTAAAACAATTTATTGGTGATGAAGTATCAAATTCAAGGTAACTCCTTGAACACCTTCCTTGCATTAAGGTTTCTAACTCACATATAGATAAGAACCAACTCCTACTACGAAAATATTTCTATATTCCCATATGACTATCACTTTTGAACAAGAGTTACCTCCACTCAGAACATGACAATATGGTCCTTCCAAATATTACTATACTTCCAAATGTCCACAAGCAACCAATCTTCAGCGAACCTCACATTGTTCTTGATAATTCTTTAAAAACTTTAGTCATATATTGTTCTCCTCTTTTTTTTTTCTCTCTCAATGCCATAGGCATTTGAAAAATTAGACCTAGTAAATATTATATCATATGTAATCAATCTTATATCTAAAGCATATAGGATTCGATACATAAAACATAAAGACATGATACTTGATCGGTCTCTTGCTTTAGATATAAGATTGATTACATATATATAATTTCCTATGTTGAATCATTTCAACACAATATTCATATTTGTTCATGACTAAGTTCCATTAAAACTTCAATCTAAAACTCTTATATTTGAAATGAAGTATAAGTGCCTTCTCCCCTATAATTTTCTATAGTGAAACAATTTTCAAACTTTGCAACTCGCAAATTTGTAACCTTTGTTTCCTACAAATAGTATTGCAAACCTGCAACACTTACCATAACAATCATGCTCCCACTAGCATAACAATTATACTCCCATCTGCATAACAATTATGCTCCCACTAGCTGTGACATGTACCTAGAAATCAACTGGACTTCTATAAATCAATACTATTGACTTTCTTTCCAAAGTTCATATTTATGATACGTGATGCTTTGATAAGTGTTCATCTAGATTTCTCAAGCTCATACACCTTCATTAAATAGCATATGTGAGTGTCTAAACCCTTTCAGAACTACAAGTCTTGAACATTGAAACAACTCCTTGCCATTTCTCACAATTCGAACAATAAAAAGGGATGTCATAATCATATACGAATTTGAGAATGCAATTATCACAACTTCTAACCATAATGATATCAATCAGATTTAAAATCTACTAGTGAAAGTGTTTCCTCATAATCATTTTCATGAGTTAGAGCGGAACATTTTGTTACCTAGATTTTATGGTATATATGTTCCTATCCATATGAATTTGTCACATCAAACCTACAATCATAAGATAATGTTGAGGACAAAAACCCAAAATCAAATTTTGGCTTCCTTTCATGGACTGAACTTTGCTTATTCTTAATTTCTTGTCTTTTGGTAACACAAGGGCCTACCAATGTTTCCAAGTTGTCAAGCAGCTCATCCATATTGATCAATGTACTATCGCTGACCAACATGCTCTGCCTTCTGCAGTCAAATGAGAACTATAAGTCTCACATGCAAAATCAACTTAACTGGAAGGTGTACAAAAACAAGAATGTGTCAACTTAACATGATAAGTAATCAACCTCAGGTCGTGTGCTAGTGTTAACTAACATGTTTATTCTTGATTGACTTCTGAAACTATTCAAGATCATAAGGGTAAGAATGTTTCAAAAACGTTTAAAAAAATACCAGACAAGTTTTGTCTATTTAAAAAATATCATCCAACTAAGGGCTTTGTACAAAAAACACAAATGAAGTATACATTTTGTTGAAATCTCACCTTGTGGTAACCTGATGATTCAGGTGAACCGATGAGTTGGTGACCGGTAGGGCTGTGCATGGGTTGGTTTGAGTCTGTTTTGACCTAAACCCAACTCAACCCATAAATGGTCGGTTTCTAGTTTTCAGAACCCAATAGGATCAGTTTCTGATCGGTTCAGTTTCTTTGGTTCTGAGGTTGGTTTGAGCGGTTTTTCGATTTCTTAGGTTTAACCCATACATTCACGGGTTCTGGGTTTAAACCTATGAGTTTTGGGTTTTAACCCATTTTCCATAAATGAAGCAACAAGTTAAGTACTTAAAAAAACACCAAATTTAAGTTAAATACTTTAAAAAGCATGAGTCTTACAACAAATAGTATATTACAAGTTACAACCAAAAGCTGAAATAGTCTATTACAACCAAAAAACAATCAAGTATGGGATGGTTTTTCGGGTTGGATGAGTCGGTTTCTTGGGGCTGTTTGTCGGTTTTAAGTATGGGTCGGTTTTTCGTGTTGGATTGGTCGGTTTCTGGGTAAAAACCAAAATCAAACCCGATTTTTCGGTTTTTAAAAAATTCATACCCTAACCGTCAGTTTTGCTTCAGTTTCGATTTTGTTGATTTTAATCGGTTTCTCAGTGTCTTGGTTTGAGTTTGCTTAACACGGATGCTATTTGAACAAAAGTTAAAAGTAGTTGGTGTTTTTTAGACAATCACATTATAAAAATTTGGCGTCTTTTGCTCGTACATAATTTGATATTTTTTATTTTTTATTTTTTGAAATTACCATAAAAGACAATGGGTCATGTTAAGACAGAAGGAATCTATAATAACTGGATCGTCCTTTTCAATTCAAAAGTGGCGCAAGTCTCGACACCCAAACATACACAAGCGTTGAACTTTTAGCCTCAACCACTACACTCATCACTCATTATATAAATAGCCATTGAAGAAAACCAAGCAAAACCCACTATCCTCGCACATGATTTCATCGTAGTCTTCGTTCCCAATGCTGTTAATGGAGGTCATTCTATTGTACATTGTGCTTCTTTCGCTTGTTCTTTGATACTCACCTATTTGAATGCCCAAAAACAAAAGGAAAAAAGAAAATAACACAAATCAAGAAATTTGCAGAACCCCGAGGTAGAAGATGGTAATGGAGGTGAATGTGAATGTGAAATGGTTGTTAATTGTTAATTACTGTTCCCAATTTCTCTGTCTTTCCTTTTCTTGCTTTCCTTCAAAGCAATTTTTGTCTAATTAACGAATACCAGTTTTAGAGAGAGTGAAACACATCGATGCAACAAAACCTAGAAGTTTAATCTGGGAATCGAGCCCCCACAAATTTGCAAATGCCGATGTTAAGGCACAACCACTATCTCTTCTTGCTTCTATCAATTGTTGTTTTTGTTGTTGATGCTTCAAACGATGAAGCTGTTGTTTTGCTTTCATGGCTTCACTCGTCCTCATCTACTTCGCCACACTCTTCATTTTCAAACTGGAACCCATCCGATCAAAATCCTTGTAATTGGTCTTACATCACATGTTCTCCACAAAAATATGTTACCAAGATCGATATCCAGTCTATCGAATTAGCCCTTCCTTTTCCTTCCAACCTCTCATCGCTTAAATCTCTCGACACTCTCATCATTTCCGGTGCTAATTTAACCGGAAAGATCCCAGATGATATCGGAGAATGTAGTGCGCTCCAAGTGTTTGATGTAAGTTCCAATAGTCTCGTGGGGAGTATTCCAACATCAATCAGTAAGCTTGTGAAGCTTGAGGATTTAATATTGAACTCCAATCAACTCTCCGGAATCATCCCACCACAGATTGGTAATTGTACAAGGTTGAAGAATCTTGTCTTGTTCGATAATTATTTAACCGGAGAGCTTCCTGTTGAGCTTGGAAATCTTTCAATGTTAGAAGTTATTAGGGCTGGAGGGAACAAAGACATATCTGGAAAGATCCTTTACGAGTTGGGAAACTGTCGAAATCTAAAAGTTTTGGGTCTTGCTGTCACTAAAATATCCGGGTCGATTCCTAGTTCTTTGGGTAGTCTAAGCAAGCTTCAAACTTTATCAGTTTACACAACACAACTTTCAGGTGAAATCCCAAAGGAACTCGGCAACTGTTCTGACCTCATCGATCTATATCTATATGAAAATGATCTCACTGGTTCACTTCCATCTGAATTGGGGAACCTTCACAACTTAGAGAAGCTTATGTTATGGCAAAACAACCTTGTGGGGTCGATACCTCCAGAAATCGGAAACTGTAAAAGTTTAAAAACCATCGATCTCTCTTTAAACTTTTTCTCCGGTGTCATTCCTTGGTCATTTGGCAATCTCATCGATCTTGAAGAACTGATGCTGAGTAACAACAGTCTCTCCGGCTCCATCCCACCTGTTCTTTCAAATTGTACAAATCTAATACAATTGCAGCTCGATAGAAACGCATTTTCAGGATCGATCCCGATGGAGCTCGGGATGTTACCTGAGTTATCTGTTTTCTTTGCTTGGCAGAATAAACTTGAAGGGGACATTCCCTCAACAATGGCAGGTTTGAAGAGTCTCCAGTCTCTTGATTTGTCTCATAACTTTCTTACTGGTAGCTTACCATCTGGTCTTTTTGAACTAAAAAACCTAACGAAGCTTCTCTTGATTTCAAATAGCATCTCGGGTTCCATCCCTTCTTCCATAGGGAATTGCAGCTCACTCATTAGACTTAGGCTAGTAAATAACAAAATTACTGGACCTATTCCTAAAGAGATTGGGTTTCTTGAAGATCTTGATTTTCTCGACATATCTGAAAACTATCTCACTGGAGTAATCCCAGATGAAATTGGAAATTGTACACATCTTCAAATGGTGAACCTAAGCAATAACACCCTTTCTGGTACTTTACCTAGCTCGCTATCTTCTATAATGAACCTTCAATCTTTAGACGTTTCAAGCAATCAGTTTATCGGTCAAATTCCCGAGAGTTTTGGTCAACTTGCTTTCATTAACAGACTTGCGATTAGTAGAAACTCGTTATCTGGATCGATTCCTACAACGCTTGGTTTATGTTCAAATCTTCAGTTTCTTGATCTTAGTGGCAATAAACTCTCGGGTAACATTCCGGTTGAGCTTTTCAGTTTAGTTTCATTAGATATCGCATTGAATCTAAGTTGGAATTTGTTAAACGGAACAATCCCGGTTGAAATATCTTCATTAAACAAACTCTCAGCACTAGACCTTTCACATAACATGCTCACTGGAGATTTAATGGCGCTTTCCAGCCTTGTGAATCTTGTTTCCTTGAATGTCTCTTACAACAATTTCACCGGTTTTCTACCTGACAGCAAGCTTTTCCGGCAGTTATCCGTCCAAGAATTGGCCGGAAACGAAGGGTTGTGTCCATTGGGACGGAATTCCTGTTTCCTCGGTCAAACTGGAACCGGAATCGCTACCAAACGTAGTATCCGCCAGTCAAAGAAACTGAAAGTTGCTATAGCTTTGTTAGCTGTTGCAGCAGTGGCATTGGTGATTCTAGGGATAATAGCGGTTTACCGAGTTCCAAAAGTTAAGTCGCAAGATAACGATTCCGAAACCGGTAATTGGAGTTCATCAAATTGGAAATTCACACCGTTTCAGAAGCTTAGTTTTACAGTGGATCAAATATTAAGATGTCTGGTTGAAACTAATGTGATCGGAAAGGGGTGTTCCGGTGTAGTCTATCGAGCAAGTCTTGACCATGGTGAAGTGATTGCAGTCAAGAAGCTCTGGCCCACAACAATGGCAGCAGCATACTGTGAAAACGACCGGGCACCCTCGACTGGAATCCGCGATTCCTTTTCAACCGAGGTCAAAACCCTTGGTTTGATCCGTCACAAGAACATCGTCCGATTCCTGGGTTGTTGCTGGAATCGGAATACAAGGCTGCTGATGTATGATTACATGCCTAACGGGAGTTTGGGAAGTGTTCTACACGGGAATAGCGGATGCTGCTTGGAATGGAATCTAAGGTATCAGATAATATTGGGTTCAGCTCAAGGATTGGCTTATTTACACCATGATTGTGTGCCTCCGATTGTTCATAGGGACATTAAGGCGAATAATATTCTGATTGGGCTTGATTTTGAGGCTTACATAGCTGATTTTGGGCTTGCAAAACTTGTTGATGATAGAGATTTTGCTAGATCTTCAAGCACCGTTGCTGGTTCTTTTGGTTACATCGCGCCAGGTTAGTTCCACTTCCACCAATATTAATTACAAAATTGGCATCTATTAATTTATTATATGATAATAATAATAAAATGGCAGAGATTGGGTACATGATGAAAGTAACAGAAAAGAGCGATGTATACAGCTTTGGTGTAGTGATGCTAGAAATATTAACGGGTAAACAACCGATCGACCCAACCATAGAAGACGGGCTCCACATTGTGGACTGGGTCAGACAAAAGAGAGGCGGTGTACAAGTTTTGGACAGGAGCCTGCGGGCCCGGCCCGACCCTGAGCTGGAGGAGATGATGCAAAGTTTAGGAGTGGCTTTACTTTGTGTTGCCCCTTCACCTGATGATAGGCCTTCTATGAAAGATGTGGAAGCAATGCTGAAGGAGATAAGACATGATAGAGAGGAAGGTTCAAAACCAGAGTCTATGATGATGCTCAAAGGTTCGTCTGCAACTGGAAGTCTTGATGATGGGGAAGAAAAGGAAAATGAAGGCCCATCAACCGATGCAATGAAGTGCTTGTACATTGAAAGTAATAACTCCAGCTTCTCTGCTTCGTCCTTGTTGTACTCTTCTTCTTCCAATGCCGGAAAAAATGGTGTTTAGTAGATGCTTGATTGTAGAGTCAACAGTGTTTGTTTTTGGAGGAAAAAGAAGTAGAAATAATTGGAGTTTGTTTGTGGTTAATGTTTTGGACTTTTTCTAGTTTTATATTTATTTTTTGAAAATCTAATTCAGAATAAATGACTTTGAATGTCGAATGGTCTTGTTGAGAAATCAAATATCCTCTAAGCTTTTGTTCTTAGTTCCTACCTATGTTCTTATTCAAGACAAATCTCAAAATCAACAGAAAGAAATCAAATATCCTCTAACCTTTTGTTCTTACTTTCTATCTATTTTCTTATTTGAGACAAATGTCAAAATACAAAAACTTCAAACCTACGACCTTAACATAATTCAAATTGTAATGTAAGGACGGAATTTATAATTTACTCCATTTTTATGTTAATCGGCTGAAAATATAGGGATTTCCCTCCGATAACACACCATTTTAGAACATGAATTTCAGTTAATTAGGATTTATTTTCGAATTTTGGTGAAGCCTACTCTAAACTAAAACTGTTATTTATATACATCTTGATCATTATGTAACTTTGAAAATTGTTTTGCAATTATTATTATTTTTTTCTTCGTAAAGCATAAAAATCAAACACTTATCTAGTTCCATTTTAATTACGTCACATTTTTATAGGGTTATTATTTATCAAAGAAGCAAAGATGAGGAGAGAAGATGGTGACGAATGACGATAGAGATCATCGTTTCTATGTGGAAATTGTCTTCCTTTTTGATTTTGGGCTTCAATGACGTTTTGTGTTTACAAATTTCACACTGTATTTAGAAAATTGATCGTATTATATATATATATATATATATATATATATATATATATATATATATATATATATATATATATATATATATATATATATATATATATTTCCGAGAACTCATATTTTTCCGAAAACCCGAAAAACTAAAAGTGGAACGTTGAATCAAAATTAATTCATAAAGGACATGATCGTCATCTTACCAATCTCATTTAATGTTTAATTTTTTTTGTGTTATTTAATATATTAATATAAAAGTCTAAAAATTTACATCATAAATCAAATTTTCAGATTTATTTTAAATAGAGTATTTTTCATTTTTTTTTTTCTTAATGCAGATTTTTTAATTTTTATAAAAAACATGATTTTTTGAAAAAATAAAATTGAAAAAAATATATTTTTTTTAGAAAAACTGCAATTTGATTTCTCATCTACAAGAAAATTAAAAAAATAATATAAAACTCTTCAATATTCACCACAATTTCTTCCAAATCTACAAGAAAATTAAAAAATAATGATTGATGCAAAAATACTCACAAAAATACATATGTGATTTACATGTGAATCACATGTAATTCATATGTAAATTACATGTGATTCACATGTGAATTACATGTAATTCATATAATTCATATGTGAATCATATGTAATTCATATGTGATTTACATGTGAATCATATGTAATTCAGATGTGAATCACATGTAATTCATATGTGAGTTACATGTGAATCACATGTAATTCATATGTGAATTACATGTGAATCACATGTAATTCATATGTGAATTACATGTAATTCATATGTGAATTACATGTGAATCACATGTAATTCATATGTGAATTACATGTGAATCACATGTAATTAATAAAATATTTTATCAATTCACACAAATCACATATTATTTGTAATTGATTATTGCATATGGATGTTAGCATTACTTTTCAATATTTTATTTTCACCAGAAACTAGACTTGACAAATCTTGAAAAGATTATTAACATTAAAGTCAAATAAGTGAGCTTTACTTAATATAAGTAATGGTTCCTTTTTTAATCAACCATAAAAAGGTAGGTTGGTACCTTTCGATATGAATAGAGGAGACTTCTTTCCAACTTCTTGTTAATCTTTTTCACACTTAACCCATTACACATATATTTTTTATATTATTAACAAGTGCTTGATAGTTGGATAAAATAATTTTGAACACTTAGCACATTGAGCCCACTGTTCTTAATCTTGCTTCCTGATGTCACACCCCAAAACCGGAACGACGGAAACGTTTGGGGGTGGAGGGCGTCATGTATAGTATCACAACAATGCAACATAGTAAACAAGCAACAACATCATCCATTGCATTAATAATATAATTTTATACAAGTGTGTTATGTCAAGTTATATAGACACCAAAAATATGAATCAAAATAAAAGATGAGTCTTGAACATGCTCCATCTTCTCAAAACCTAGCTCCGGTACCTGTCTACTGGTGACCTGAGAATACAAGTTATTTTGAAAGAGTTTATCAACTTTAAAGCTGGTGAGATCATAAGTATATTAGTGTTTGTATTTGTATGAAAGTGTTTGTAAGTATGTAATTGTATAAGTTTGTAAAAGTTTGCAATTGTTTGAACTCTCCTAGAAAACCCTATGTTTCCTACTAAAAGTAGCCTTCTACCAAGGCATCTAGTATCTGTGTGTGTCTCTTGTAAGAATGTGTATTTTCCCAAATCTGACTATCATTAACCAAAAATATAGTTTTTACATTATTGTTTATTGTGTGAAAATCACAAAGTAAATGTAATGGGAAAACGAAATAGTACTGTAGTGTTGTATTAAGTAACTACTGCTGTACTAACTACCTTAAACCAATTGTTATTTAAAGTACCATGTGATCGGCCTGTATCCTGCTATCGACTCTATAGAAAAACGACGATGTAAGACGTCGTAAGAAATGACGTTTGGCACCCGTAGACTTGCAAGTCCCACTGTTGCGAGCAACAAGGTGTAAGATAGTCAATCCAGTATGGATCTATACACAAACTCATACGATCCCCACTTAAGGAGATTCTAGATACAAAACGGTCATTGCAGGTAGTGCCATGCCCCGTTACGTGGCTCACATAACTGTAGTAATGTATATGTAATGTATGTGTGTCACACCCCCAAACCAGGCGGCGGAAACGTTCGGGGGCTGTCGTGACTCAATTGAATACCATAACATTGAATATATATGAAACGTAACAACATTCGTCACCATGCATTAATATAGTACAACCAGTAGAGTTTACATGAAATACATTGTTTAAACATTACATTCCCAAAATAAATTGTTCGATTCGTACATAAATAAACTGCAAGCCATCACTGAATATGATTTCCTTTGATTCACTGGTTCCCTGAGAATACAAGGATTTTGAAAAACGTCAACATATGAAATGTTGGTGAGTTCATAAGTAGTGTTTGAAATCCAATGTTTTGTATTGTTTGAAAACCACCAGAAAATCCGATATTTTCTGAAAATAGTATAGTCAAAAAGGTGTGAAGATCCATAGGTATGCTTGTTTGTTTCTATACTTGTAAAAATTGTTCATCTAAAATTTGTGTGTATTCCGAATCCGTATGTATTGAAATACCCTAGGAAAACCCGATGTTTTCCTAATTCGTACATTGAAACAATTGCAACGTGTGAAGTTGTCGGTACCAGGCGACGTTGGATTATTGTTGAGCATGATTATTTGCTACAAACACACGTTACACAAATGACTAGTCTATAGCGATACTAACGATCCCGAAGGCGTCGTCCGTACTAATCACGTTCTCCAACCGCCCTGACTACGTGTAGTCCCACACCCGAAGAGAACGAGGACACGAAGGCCTCAATAACTCCATTAGCCGGTTGGGGATAAAAGGTACGAGGGGTCCCAGACCCGCCTCGCATGAAAAGGTAGACTTTACTAGCAATACCAAAGGACCCTTGGGGACCAGTGGTATACAAGCCATTGAAAGTCCTTTTACGTTATGTCGGATCGGTGAAACCCAACACTTCGTAAGAGAGAGGTCTTCGGGCCTTAAGATCAGGTCATTGGGCTAGCTAGGCTCAACGAACAAGATTTTACACTTTTGGGGCCCAAAGGTGGTGCGTAGACGTCTGTGCACACTCGCATGTATAGTGACTTCCCAATCGTTATCGTAACGTCGTAATGTCATAGTGTCGTCGTGTTAGTAGTTTCGGATTTTTATTGGTTCGAGACCGAACCAATTCGTTTGACAACGACTTTTGGTGTTGTAATGTATTGTATTTCGTCGATAGTCGTGGTACCATCATTTGATCAAATTGCATGTATTGAACTAGTCTTGAGAATTTTTCTGTTTTCAGCCCCTCATTATTTGTAAAAATTTACTTTTTCAATCCTTTATTTAAAACTTTCCGGTTTGGTCCTTAAATCGATTTTCTTGACATTTTAATACCAAAAATTATTGAAATTAATATTTTTCAGCATATTTTTCATTGAAGACAGTTTAAGTCCTTGAAATTTCAGTTTTCTCGGTTATAACCCATCTTTTTCGCAATTTTTACATTTTTGGCCCAATTTGGAAAATTTTTGCAACTTTGGTCCTTTTTAAATTTGAAAAGCATTTTAAACCTTTGAAAAGTACATGGAACACTTATAGTCCACTGCTTTACAGAAAAATGCAGTTTTGGCCCTCCAAAACAGAAAATTTCGCATATTGGGCCTCATTGGGCCGAAAATGTCATCTTTAGCCCATTAAGCTTGGAATTTATATTTTTAACCCTCCAAATAGTATATTTTCAGAAAATACATTATGTAAACTGTTTTGACTCATCTCACCCATCAGATTTCGAAATAATTCATTTTAGGCCCTTCAACTTTGTATTTTCAACATTTTATGTCAAAAAAATGAGTTTTTAGCCCAAATTAAGTGTTGTCAAGTCATTTGGCTATTTTTCTTAGTATACTTTGCATGTAGTAGTATATTTTATGCTATAATAAAATACATATCTCGGTTTTTAGCATTTCATAACTAGATCTAGCATCAAAATCATACAAAACATACATATAAGCATAGAAATCAACCACAACATACACATAATGATGGATCTACACCTTTGCTTGTATTCTCCCCCACAAAAACTTATGAAAACTGAAAATAAGGGGGTATGAAACTCACCTTGGGTTTTGGAAGTCGGTTTTGATGAAGAAGTGAAGAGATCTCGACCCTAGATGTGTTATGGAGATGATTTTCGAGCTCTATGGTGCTATAAGAGTATGATTCACGAAAGTATGGTGTAAGAGGAGATTTTTGAGTAGATCAAGGAGTGAAATCATAGATCTAATGAAAAACTTACCAAAGATGATGACCTAGGTGGGAAAACCTTCTTGAAATTCTTAAAATCTCGAAAAATTGAGAGGAAAGAAGGGTGGTTTTTCTTGAGAGTGCTTGAGAGGAATGATGAGAGAAAATGTTGGGTTTTAGAATGAAATGTGGAGGTAGAAAGGCCATATGGCCGTGAGTTTGAAGAAGGGAGAGAAAGAAAGGATTTCCTTGCCTAGATACATGAACCTACCTTGTTGTATGGTGGTTATTATGCATGGATGACCACCATGCAATATTGAGGTGGCAAGGTTAGGATAATTCATCTCTTTTCCTTTTTTTTTTTTTGTAATGATCTTGGGCCGAGATTGGGCTAAGGTAAATGAGGATGAGGTGTTTTTGCCCATTGTTGGTCTTGGCCGAATTTATGAGGCCCAAAAATAAATTTTCGGCCCATTGGGCTCTTGAGGAGACTCCCGGCCCAAAATGGTAAAAGAAATGGGTTTAGGGTCCATTAAGGGTAATTAAATCCCTTTATGGCCCATCATGGCCTAAAGTGGTCAAGTTGAAGGCTTATTGGTCCATT